ATCGAACTGTACAATAACAGACCACTTGACATGTTGGCTCATTTGATAATTACGACATATAGTGAAATTTGAACTTGGTTTGAATAATGTTTTCGAAATAGAAGGTGCACTATAGAAAACATTTCTTTACGTCTTACCACACCACAATGCAGTGTTGCATCAAAAAGAATTCAGCTATTAAATTCAAGGACTTACTTATTTCCACTTTACCATGCGCTCTCCGTGCACCGATTTCTGTTGCCGTCCCGAATGCGTAGAGAGGCGGCTATGAATTTGTCGTGAGCGTGATTCGAGAGACGCGCAATTAAGCGCTGTAGGCATGACTAATCTTTTTGCTGCTAAAGCGTACTAAACGGCTTTTCAGAAACCAAGCACACTACCAATTTTTTTTAGACAGAAATGGTTCTGAAACAAAACTGATTCAAGGCATCGACTGTTCTACACCTCGCAATAATCATTCAATATAAATTTTCCAAAATGTTTGAAGCCTTACCCGAGGTTGGACGCCAGGGCTACACGCGCGTGTTTTGGAGATCTCGCTCCCCTCGTCAGTACTCACGTGCCACATCAAACCCTGCATAGTAGCAAGGAGGGAGGCGTATGTGGTGACGGTACAGTGTACAATAACACTGTGCCATCACCACTTCTCAGTCGATGGATCTCGGTTGGTAGGACAGAATTGATTCATGGCATCGACAGCTTTTAACCTCTCAATAAACATTCAGTATAATTTTTAAAATTGTTTGAAGGCTTTCAAAAGTCCTGCCGAGGTTGTTAGGTAGGGACCTTGGCCATATACGACCGTATTTGTGCATACGTGGTGACTCGTTTAGCACTGGATTCACTCATACCTTCCATTAAGTGAAATAAATGCATACACATGGTGCTCAGTGGGTAAATACCTCTATATTTGAAAAGTTAACTACACTTATTATCATAGAATTTCCCTGATTTGATTATGAGATGGAAAACTGTGCACTAATTGCCGACAACGTTAAGTTGGCAATACTTCATTGATACGGCATAGTAAAAGTTTTATGCGAAATAAGTGCAAGACATTTAAACCAAATATCACACCATAAAAAAATATGTTTTTCAAAGGAATGTTTCTTGTTCATTGGTTACTGGGAAGGAAGTAAAGTATGCTGAGATCCAGAAATTTTTATTCTATTGCACTTCAAAGCGATTGTTACTGTCGACGGAAGCATCATGCACTTTTTCACGAGCAGCATTGCCAGCATTCTCCACAGTTCATTGGCAAAGCTCGAGCTTATAATGGTACAGTTTTGCGTCAGCAGCCGACATTCCGGTGGTTTTGCTTCCTTCAGGGCATAGAACAGTCAAAATTACAGCGACCTAGACAGACAGCCAAATATTCTCGGGACTTCGGCGTGAAATCTAGATGTACTAGGCTTAGTAGGTCGCACTTGATTTGACCTCTTGAGACTTCAAGAAAGCAAAGCCGTCGAAATGTCAGCTCTTGATCCAAGGTGTATGTTAGCAACATTGTCTTTTCCTCATCAAGAAAAGCTTTGGATTGTACATCAACGAAACGGAGAAAATCTCAGAAAAAAAACGATACTTCTCGTGAAAACGCGCAGCACGTGTCAAATACAACGTAACTCTCCTGCTACAGCGCTAAATAGAAACTTTTCTAAAGCCAAGTATATTCCAAACTCTCCGGGATTTGCGTTATTCAATGGTCATAAATAGAATGAGGGAAATGCTTTGCTCAGCAAAATATAAACTCGATATTATCAAGAACGCCGCTGGTGGGAAATATTAAATTGCTTTGAAATTTGCAGAACTGTAAGGAGGATTTCTTGAAAAGCAATTATATTCTTATACTCTTCGAAATGTACACCATTTGTTAGTTTGGAAAAACAATTTAATCCAGAGAATTATGAAAATGACAATAATGATAAAAAAACGCGGTGCATGTGAAACTTAATTTAATTTTGAATGTTGGAGCAAAGTAAAAAGGGCCTTTCAAGGAAGTGTATATAGCGGTTCCCCGACTGAGTTCTGAGTGATTACTGAAAGTGCAACAGAGAGTGTTAGTCTAGCAAAAAAATTCCTCTCTAAACATTCGTGCCAAATGACAAAAAATAATCGTTGTTGTTTTTTAGATGACTTCTTTCCTTAACTTGGCCTTCTGACAGCATTGGTGGGGGTGTTCGAATCACACGGTGAATCTGAGGTCTGCAAGATTGAATAGAAGAGATGAATCGCAATTATTATGCGTCAGGCGTTCTTTTCTTGATGTCGTTCGATTGCGTTTCTGTGACAAAATTCTCTCAGAGTGTAAACAACTCTAATCTACTCATCTAACTAGCGCATCTTAACAAACTTAGATTTACTTTTTGCTTCACCTTCAGTGTTAATGGCCAACTCAGCCTCTGAAGTATTTATCAGTATATTTGACGGAATGCAAGCTAATTGATGGAGCTCATTTTGCACAACATTTATGTTAAGCTGAATCAAATCAGAGTCAAAATGCTACAATGAATTTCCCAGTGCCACCTACAATTGTTTGGGGTACGGTAACTCGGACGAATAACAATATGGCCTAAGAAGCCTTTGTCCTGTATTTTTCTGTAGTGCAGCCTTCGTGCGCCGTTCTCAACGAGAGAAGCGCGTCAAAGATCTCTGTGTTGCTTTGTACATTCGCTAGAACGCCTTAGCATCATAACCTATTTTGCTCAAGACGTTCCAAATACGTAGTCTGAGTGTGAAATCTCAAAAATAAACAGCTTGAAACTTGAACTATAATTCGATGACATGCGTGGCTCAAAAATTAATATTTGGCATATAATTCGATTGTTCGGAAAATATTCGTACTGGCCAAAAAATAGTTAGATCGAGTGGTATTTGACAGTGATCTCGTTCAGGTCACCATTCATGTGCGATTCGTTGTTGTTACTAAATTTATACAAATGAAAATGTATTTACCACGTGTGAATGACAGAAATCGTAAAACAGAAATAGTGTGTTCGGATGAGAGGAGGTATATTTTTAAATGTGCAAATGTGATGTGGCATAACAGATTTGGAGAGGTCTCCTTCTCTCTGAAACCTCCACTTATGGTGTTGTTCTTCTCTACACAGAGCCTTTTTTATCTATAATATCTAAGAGAGAAAATATAATGCAATAACTTTTATTTATTGCCCAGTCCTTCCTCATGGCATGGCATGATGCAAATGAACGTCTAAATAGCGAATAACTTTTGAGGGCCAAGCGCTAACCACTGCACTGGCCGAGGTCCTTGCCTTAGCTTTATATATTATTAGAATTTGTCATCATTATCATACATCATTAAACGTGATTTGTGTTCCTTTTAAATACACATTTCCCAAATCAAGGCTTTTCCAAAGTCTCTCCGGCGAAGAAATTTGGTGCTGAGATGAGTTATAGGAGACACAAAAATCGTTAAAAGACAATATTTAACAATATTCCGCTCTAAATAAACAGCGTCTTTAGTTTTCCATAAAAGTAGAAGCTTGTGCATAACATCAACGGATTATCTGCTTAATTGCAGATGCCAGCTCTATTTATGCGTTTTCCACAGCACAACGACTATGGATTCTGTTTACCCATCGACACCTCTTGCAAATACTCTTACTTCTCTGCGCGACATGCATTGAGCACAAGTTGGTTTTGCTTTATTACATTCCCTCTAGAAGTCAACTCTTGATAACTGATGTGCTTGCCAACCCGAGGGTGCAATAGATTTGAAGAAAAAGTTCCTTAACACGCGCTGAAAATTCAAAGTTCAAACGTAAATTCAGAAATAACCAATAATTTCTCATTAAAATGAAGACCATCACTATTCACGATCTTTTGCCAATGATCTGCAAGCTTTCAGATCTGCTCGAAATACCATTCCTTGAGATTTGAATAAGAGAACTTGTGACGTGCCTCTTTGAACTTGACCAAATGTCTCAAATCGGCGTCCACGAAGGAAATGTTTCATCGAGAGTCCATAATCAGACGGCGCAACATCTGGACTATAGACGGAGTGCGGCAAGACCTCGACTCCCTCCGGTTCATCATACTTTTCCTTAGCTTCTTTGCGACTAAAATCTGATGTGCTATAACTAGCATTGCCGTGGAAATTTTTTATGGAACTATTCCTGAGATATTCCAGTGTTTCTAGCAGACATAAAATATTTTTAAGAGAATGGAGTGGTAAGCAAAAGTCTGACTTCAGACGTGAGTTAAATCCGGGTTTCATCCATACCGTGGACAAGTGCTCCCATTACTTCACCGAGGCCATCACTTACTCATCACTCATTCCTCAACATCTTTTTATCATTAGCTATCGGGCCACCAATCATTAACAGATTTGATAGCGTAAGCAATATCGCTTTATGAACCCAGTAAAGCTAATAGCCATTGTGCTTATATATTTCCAAAATTCCTTATGTTTTTACTGCTTTTTCGCAGTGATGTGGTGTTTTAAAATTCCCTAAGAGACGACTGTTTTTGAGTGGGGTCTGTGAAAAGGAGGCCAATAAGAGGTGTGATTCATTTTACCAGCCACAAGCTCGACTGCTAGTCACTGCAATATCAGGAAATTCTGTTACCTGACTTGCGGTGGTTTATTATCCGGCGTCGATTCCCCTATAAAGGAGTGTAGTTTCAGAAGATTGGCTAAACCGTAGGACGCTGCACTACTGACGAGTGCTGGAGGACGAATTAGGTACCTGTTCAGCCCTACCAGCTTCACAGACGTCCCAAAACATGTTATATATTTATCAACTATTTCTAAGAGAACTCAAGTAAAAATCAATCCTTTTAGGAATATTTGAAACATCATACCACTGCTAAAAAGCAGTAAAAACATAAGAAATTTTGGAACTACATAAGAACTCAACAAAATACAATGGTTATCAGCTTACTTGGTTCATAAAAATGTATTGCTTACGCGACCAAATCTGTTAATGGCTAATGGCTAATAATTATGATAGAAAGATGTTAAGAGTGAGTGATAAGTGGTGGCCTCGGTGGTGTAGTGGTAGCACGCGTCCCCGATATGGACGAAACTTGGGTTCAACTCCCATCTAAAGTCGAATTCTTGCTTGCCATCCAATTCTCTTAAGAATATTGAAAAATCATAACACTGCAAAAAAGGAGTAAGAACATAAGTAGATATGGAACAAACATAGAATTTGAATTTTTGGCGAGTATTAAAGAACTTTTCCCACTCACTAACGGGGGAGCGCTGGCCAAACGCTTCAAGGTCTAATGATAATTGTATGATCGATATTTATGAATTCATTATTGTTTATGGTATACGTTGGCCACATGACTACAGTTGTGGCATCGTAAAGAAGTAATTGAGTGCTTATTTTGCCTACAAATGAATGAATATGTGACTGATTATCAGCGTAATAAATCTGACTGAATATAAATTGTAATATATGAGGCGACAATCGTACACCCATCGCGTCGATCAACTGCGAGAAATTTATACTTTACAATCTTTGTTACGATAATCAATATCGCTTGATTTTCATCAAGCTATTGTGCTAGAACTCAACAGAATACAATTGAAAGAGACTTCAGTAATCTTTTTTTCCAACAAGGAAAAACGAGGAATCTCCACATGAGAAAACGTTTTGAAAAAAATTACGAGAATACGCTTTATAACACGCTTTGTGTGGGCAATTTTATTTTTACTAATGCAGCACAGCGAGGAGACATTTTTCAGGAAAGTAAGTGGATTTTCATAATTAACGAGATTAACATTATTGACTGCTTTTTAACTTCGCAATAAACATTCAATATGATCTGTGAGAATGTTTAAAGCCTTACCGAAGTTTTCACGTCAGAACGTGTTTTGGGGGTAGCGCCCTCTTCATCAGAGGCCACGCCAGCCCCTATTTTTAGCCAGAAAGGACATTTAGCGAGGTTGTTATGTCAGAGCCATACACGTGGTTTGGAGGTATCCGCCGCTCCTCCTTGTTACAAGGTAGTAGGGCTCTGTGGGGCGTGGGGCAACTGATGGAGAGGGCCATACCTCCGAAATACGTGTATGAATTTGACGTTGCAACCACGGTGAGGCTCTACATTTTCACAAATTATAATCGACAAGATTTGAACATCGAGTAGTCACCAAAAGAGAAAAAAGCGCCAAATGCTCTATACGTGAAAGGTTCTGTATTGGATTGAGATTTTTATCAGAGTCTCCTCAGTGATAATCCGTCTTTTGCTGATAACGAAACTCTTTTAACGACGATAAAATTCTAAATTTTATTGAAAACTACAGCACTGCAATTCGAGTGAGCTCCTCCAGCCGGTAATTTGCTCCATGTGCCAGACGGAAGGTCAGCGTAGTAGACAAAGGATTAATTAGGGACAGTTGGCGAAATATAGTCTGAGTGGTGATTCATGAGGCGTTTTTACGCAAATGACTATTATTTGTTTTTTTTTCCTATGCTATGGCCCATCTACTTTGTTTTAGTATGTGAGAGTAGCTTAAATATTCCAAACACCTGCATCAATACGACCTGACACCAAAATGAAGTCATTATATTGGGCCCTAGTTGCAAATTTAGTGGCGTTACTTTTTTTTCTTAAAAAGAGAGACATTCTTGTACCACTTCTCTATGTCTTAAATCAGACTGGTGTCTCGCTAAGATAGCAAAGTACACTACAGGCTCAAATATGCTCGTCTGTTGTTCATAGATCCAGTGATTTTCGTTCACAAATGGTGAAATCAACGAATCTACTTTGAAATCAACTCGGTAATCTATAACATCACTGCATATAAATCTCGCAATGAACTTTTGATATAATTTTAAGAATGTACGTTGTGATGCCGCCACATACGCCTCCCTCCTTACTACAATGCAGGAGGGTGCGCGGCACTGACGAAGAGGCGAGATCTCCAAAACACGTGTTGCTTTGGGCTGTATTTAAACATGCTTGACAACTCGGTAATGTTTAGTGGATGAGTGTTATGCGGTGTCCTATTCGAATGAATAATTATGGCCGTTTTCACTAAAATACCGCTGCTTCATCTTGGGATAAATGCTCGATTTAAGCACCGCTGTCATCGTTTTCGCTTCTATCTTCATGTTTCAAAAGCGTCGCATCGAACAAATTATGGTAATAGGTTAGAGAATTGCTTCTTCACTGCTGTTTTCAGTTGGAGCAGTTTATGGCTGAATGGTAGAAAACATATTTTCACGCGATGATACACAAATCATGTCGACAAGAAGTGAAATCCTTCGTAGAATCATGTTCACTATTTGGTTTACAAGTCATAAACTAGCCAACATTTCGTATCCGTTACTACGCCAACGATTCCATAAAGTATTACTGGCCGTTATACTTTATTAGTATATTCGCTTAGCACAGCATCTCCTGTGTGGATGGGTACAACTAAAGTCTTTGAAAAACTTCCCAAAACTATTTCCGTCCAACACATATATTTAATTGCAGTTAGTATAACGACTTTCAAAAAGTTTTCTCCTCATCGTAGAAACATGTACAACAATCTTTGCATAATCATCACAGAAATCCGCAAAAATTTTCGCTGTACGTAGAAACTAGATTAGTTTCTCTACTGCTCTGCTATCGACCGCTCTTTTATAGACTCGCACAAAACGATATAAGCTGACTAGATGTAAAATGTTTTGAGCCGTTAAGTCTTACCCTCGGTTCAACCGATCCCTATCAACCGAGGCTATGTAACCCTCTATAAAGGAATCGACGTCGACTAATACATCACCCCATCGGACGATGGAGGTACCTGACATTGTGGCGACCGGCAGTTGAGCCTGCGGCTTCTACAATGAATCATACCTCCACTATCGGATCGGTTGAACCATAGGAGGGTGCTACTGATGAGTTCCAATAGGACGAAACAGGCGCCTGTAAGCACTAAACCTCACAGCTCAAAAAATGTTGCACCCTTATTTGATTTGTTGCATTGAATTAACGCATAGTATCGCCTAATATGCTCTTACACAGGACAAACGAATAAAGGCGCTACCTTTCCCGTTTCTAGACCTGGATTTGAGTCAATTTGAGAAAGTGGCTCTTAGAGCATTATTAAAAGTAAATTGAATTTTTATTGCGAGGTTTAAAAACCGTCGATGCCATAAATCAATTTTGTTCCACCAGACGAAATCAATCGAGTGAGAGGTGTTGTGTGGGTCACTGACAAGGAGGGCGAGACCTACGAAACACCGGTGTATGACCCTGGCGTACCATCCTCGGGCAAGGCTTTAAACATTCTCAAGAATCAGATTAGATATCTATTGCGAGGTTTCAAAAACAGTCGATGTCATGGATCAGTTTTGTTCTACCAGCCGAGATCCATCGCCTGACTTACGCCTCCCTCCTTGCTACAATGCAAGGCTTATTGTGAAGCGTGGGCTACTGACGAGGGGGGCGAGGAAACACGCGTTTATATCCCTGGCGTATCAATCTGGGGTGAAGCTTTGAACAGTTCTAGAAATTTACATAGAAATGGCTCCGCCTTCAAGGAGTCTGGAAAATTAGTTTCTATAGAGAAGTGATGATTTTTCTCGGATGTTGTACAGCGCAAAGCTAAATTTGCGCTTTGCCACTCCAAACAATCAAAAAAGTCAGTTTAAACTTACTGTAGATAAATATCGAAGGATAGAATAGCAGGTGACAAAAAAGCCATTTAAAAAGAAAAAATTCATCGAAGCGAACGCTGCGAATTAGGCCATGAAGAGGAGACAGGTCGTGTACGTACTTTTTCAATGACGTCATGAATCAAGGATTTAATTGTAGGATTCAAGAACTGAAGGTTTTTCTGTAAGTTTCAGACCTCATCATTATCATTAATTGACAGTCTAATATCAAAAGTTTTGTATAGCTTACGTCAGGACATTTAAAAACAAGCTAACTAGCTGAAACGCCACCTGATCGAACTGCTTGCTACTGGTACTAGTGCCGAGGAGAAGAAAATGATTTAAGCATCTCAACTATCCTGAGACATTAGAGTAGATTTCAAAGTCGAAGAAACTTGTCAAATTGATTGTGCACGGATTGAATAGCATTCAACCCCTCGACTACCCCTTTGATTTCTCGCGCAGCAGAAGGCGCGATCTGCTTGAATGGCACTGTGGTGGTTTCATGATGAAATTCATAATGTTTCACCCATTAGATATGGTTTCCCCGTTAGTAAAAGTATTTCTGATTCAGTAGACTCCATTAGGCTATATGCTATAGAAAATGAAGCCATTGCCTTGTCTGAAACCCCGCAAATGTCATGAGAAGAAAGCAGATATTTACCAGAGGTCATATCTAGAACAATTGTTGTACTTTTTAACTCTCTTGTCTACATTTACTAGTATTTTAGTCGTACATACAATTTTTAATTTTCATGTCAGCACTTATCCATCTTTATTCATCGCCACAAGTGCATAAATTCTCAAACAATCGACTACGTTATCACATTGTACTTGAAACTAAATAATGTGACATAAGTGTTTCAAATTGGGTGATCTTCTCAATACCACAAAATCACACAGTGGTTAGAAATCAGAAAACAGTGAACGGTTTGTGAAAACTGATACGGCGCACTACATGCGAGGCCAATTCATCCATTGCTCTAGATGATTCTAAGATTCTTAATGCACTTCACGAGTTGAGGCCCTACACAGATTTATAGAACAGATTCCTTTTCATCGTTCTTTGGATAATCACTTTGATTATTCACTTTTACTATAGTACCTGGACGTTGAATTTGCCACCTTTGCCACTGGGATATTTTTTCGATATACGTATTCCACACTACTCACTAATTTATCACTCGGGTCTTCGGAAGTCCACCTTATGAGGTGGTCGACTGAGAAGACTGCAAGTCAATTTGACTTTTCCAGCCTCAAACAAGACGAAACCTCGACAACTCCTGTCAATATTGTATGGTATGGTAGCAAAGAAATTTTATTGATAAGAACACCGTGCCTGGTCAGTAAGAGGAAACTGATAAAGAGATAATCGGTGAGTGGACAAGGTGGCCAAAATTGCATGCCACTCTTTGATGACGACGTGATGTGTCCAAGGAGATGAAATCCTTAGGTACAA